ATTTACCACGGAGAGAAGATTCTTTTTTACTCCAGGAACATGGTAAACGTTCTTGAGAGTGATTGGGCTTCCATCATCTCCTTTGATGACCACCGTTCCTTCCTTCTCAACGTGATGGATTGAATTATCCGCGGTAATGATTGCTTCTTTTCTTTCATGGCGTTGAAGACTAGAAAATAATTTCTCGTCTCCGGTGATATGATGGCTACAACCAGAATCTACGATCCAATTATTTTCCACCTTCTTAGGTGTAGATGTACTTGAAGATGCAGCCTCCACCGTAAAACATTTTCCCCATTCTTCGTCTTCATTATGATCTTTTGATTCTGCCATGTTTGTTTCCTTCAGCTTGACTCGGCAATCCTTTTTAAAATGCCCAAGTTTTCCACACCGATAGCACTTAAATTTTTTCTTATCTCCCTTAGAAGATCCTTCATGTCCATCATTGTTTCTTGGACCACCATCATTGGATTTGGCTTTGAAGTTTTGTTGCCTCCTAGCTACAAAGGCGCTCCCTGAGTCATCATGAATTTTGACTCCCGCCATTTGTACCGCTAGTGATTCTTGCGAAGCGAGCAAATTTTCAAATTCCTCCAAAGAAGGTTGTGTAGCCCATCCTTGAACCGAAGTCACAAACGGTGTATACTCGGGTCGTAGACCTCGAATAATAATCCGCTTCAACCGAGCATCCGAGATTGATTCCTCCGGATTAAGATTATTGATCTCAGAGCAAAGGTTATTTACCTTGATGAAAAACTCTGAGATTGAAGACTCCCCCTGCTTCGCATTCGCCAACTCGTTTTCTAATAATTGTAGACGAGCTTCGTTTTTCTTGTTGAACAATCGATCTAACGCTTGCCAAATTGAACTAGCGGATGTGCACCTTGAGACATGCTCAAATACTCCCGAGGATATTGACCTCTTTAAAGCAAACTCCGCCTTGGCATTTTTACGTGTCCACTCCTTCGTCGCTTCCGCGGTTGCAGCATCTCCGGTAGGTGATGAAGTACTACTTCCGCCGACGACATCCCATAAGTCTTCACTAACCAAGTATGACTCCATACATGACTTCCATAACCGGTAGTTAGATTGGTTTAAGATCTCCATTCCCAATCCAACAACGCGACCCATAGATTCCATACTTAGAGTAAACCCGAGTTCTCTATCACACCGATCTTGATGAGCACAAGATTAGAATGGCTCTGATACCATGTAAAGAAACCAAATCGATAGTGCTTAGCACTAGCCCAAGACCGTAATTCTCGAGAAACCCGATATAACCAAGATAGGAAACCCTCTAAGTATGTTAGAAAATTTGGAAGAACAATTAGAGATTACTTGAAAGACTTTTGGAGAGACTTAGAGAACTTTTAAAGAGTGTTCTTTTATTTGAACTTTCTTTTTATTCACTTGTTCAACTTAGTTACAAATGAGGGAGTGAGGAGGTATTTATAGCCTCCAAAGTTAGCTTACAAAGTCTCTAGATTATTCTACCATCATCTCTATAACTCTACTAAAATATCTAGATTTTATCTTACAACCTTCTTGATTATTCTACATAATTATCTAAATATCTATCTAATAGAATTCTCTAGAACACTTAAGGAGGTGGTGATTTTTTCTATGATGCTCTAGAGAAATCTAGAACTTATGCTTAACTTTGGGTTTTGTCCAATATAGAATATTGAATTATAAACCCAAAATTAAGCTTAACCCAAAATCAAGTTTAACTTCAATAATGTTAAGGTTAATTAAGTAAAGCAGAAATCTTTCATTGTTGTTACTCAAGTGGCTAGTGGTATGATTGCTCAAGCCATTGTTCAACAGATCTAAACAGAGAATAAATTTGCAAACCTCAAATTAATCAGTCTTCACTGATATTATCATTCATGTTTTGCATATGACATAATTTAAACATCAATTCTTCAAAGACCCATGTGACTCCTTGTTTTATGAAACACACAATGTAGGATTAAGAAAAAAGTTTGTTCCCAACTCCAAAGTAACAATATTAGGACATGGTAACCAGAAAGAACAAAATAGGTAGATCAACAAAGTGATAGCTAGGCTCTTGTTTATGAATTTGGCCTGGCCTCCAAGGATAAATCAGCTAAACCTATCCTCATTCTAGGTTAGCTAGTAATTCGTCCGTACCTGTTCTGGATGAAGGTTGTCGGCTGCTTATTCTTCACTGATGGAGCAAGACGTTTTGGATTTGGCCTTTTTCTAATGATATTTAGTTAGACCTTGGTGTAAAAGGCTTGACTTGAGTTGCTTTGTATCGTTAACATTAAGATCCTCTACATAGTCTACAAAGGCAAAAACTCCACCTACTTTATCACATTCTTCAAAACCTTGGATTTCAATACTTCGGAGAGTGTTCCTTTCGGGATTGAAGTAGTAAACATAATAGGGTTTAGATGTATATTTCATCGACAAAATAATTTCACATGTAGTAGTCATACCAGCAACGGAAAGATTGTAGGCAACCTTAACGACTTTATTCTCATCCCACAGAGAGTGGACATATTTGGACCATTCATGTTTCTCAACATCCTCTAGAACCCACACACACAATTCAAAGGGAAATCCACCATCAGAAGCATACTTCAAAATAATCCCACCTAATTTCCCCTTATAGTTTATCAATACAAGATCCAACGGCCAACTCGGACAGAATTTTGCATCTACAAACTTGAATTTCTCAGACCTAACATCAAAACAAACAATCACATAAGGTCCTTCATCATACGACCTATTAATTGGTCGAGCTACGTAATACAACACCCCACTGATGCATATCCCTTTACGAAAACATTCATGGGTCAAGGGACAATGGATATTCCTCCACCTCATTTTTCCATTTCCTAACGTCAGAATTTTATTGTCATTATTACAATATGGATAAGCCATGAACAATACCTTGTATTGCTTGTCAATCGGATCAAACCCTAAAAAGCTTATCTGCTCCTTGTACCTTTTCAGTTTAGGTAAGATCGCATATTGTCCCGTGATAGGATTACATATCATAGGCCCTGTATCGTGAAGCAAACCAGAAGCATAGCTACAAATGTATCGACAAAATTCTCCGGAGAATTTGATATGAAAATCAGTGGCTATTTCAAGAGACGACTTATCATACAGATTCCGAGGCTGAGGCGACGAGAAGAAGAGCCACTCAGGATATTGTGCGACCAAAAATAAGAGACGCGGCCAAGCCAAGGACCTGGTCAAGAACAGCTCCGTGAAATATGGATGGCAAAGCATGGAACCCCATAGCTTCGACACGCAACGAAACCTAGCGATTGACTTGGCCGGCAATCTCAAGAATATCTCGTTAATGAGATCGCTTGGGATGGAATCTGTAATTTCTCCTATTTTCATGATTGTTACTCCTTCCGTTTTCGAATAGTTGTCGTTTTAACTATATGCACACAAATTAAGAAACTATTAATGTTGTTAGTTTTTCAATATAAAAATATCATTAATTATCTACCTAAACATAATTTAACCAATAGTAAATCAAGTTGCATAATAAAAATAAATATAAAAAATAAAAGAGTAATAAATTTTGCATCGAAAACTGAAAACGACAACTAATTAAAAACAAAAAAATTTCTCTAAAACGACAACTATTCGAAAACGGATGGAGTATATTGTATTTGCTGATAGGACGAATATATATATAGGTTTAGGGTTTAGAAAATATAAATCCGAAAATCTTGGCCGTTGATAAATATATATATTGTGATTGTGAGATTTCAAATCAAAGGGCACACGAAGATTCTCGAGTTAAGTATGAGAGCTATAGACTAAAACACGAATTTTGTTAATGGCAAATAAAATACCATCAGTTTTAGTTTTTTTTATAACTATTGAAATATTTAATTTCACCACAGATAAAACTAATTGTAACACACATCAATATATGGAATTTTGATACCATGCAGGCATCCAGACTTTGTGGAGGCTGTGATCTGAAGTTTTGAGCCCTAAACCTAAAAATGTAGAAAGTTCTTTCATCATAGGCTTCAAAGTGTTTGCAAAAATTAGAGATATCAAAAGTTTGCTATTTTGTAATCCAGAAAAGCATATAGATATTCTTACCATTAATTTTTTGATATGTTACTAAAGTTCTAGTTAAATTAGAAGAACATAATAGTATGTGTAAATAAAGTTTTCATAATGCCAAGACAAAAGTATTCACTTGTCTAGTGATCAACAGAATGATTAAAACATTAAAGTGCATTGGTGCGTCAAAACCAAATCGGAGACTGAACAAGTTTAGTGTACAATTTCTTTGCGAGATGGTTTCGAGGCAGCCAACGAAGCTGGAATTCTAGCAAGCATTTCACCAAGACATGTACATTTCAACCATCCGCCAATGAAGCTGGAGTTATAGCAAGCATTATACTGCTTAGAGCTTAAAAGGCTATGGTGTCAATAAGAAATAGACCGGTGTGGTTTGGAAAAATGATTAAAAAAAGCAGATAGACACATAAAATTCATTTTCTTATTTGATCTACATTACATTTTCAAATGGATCTTGTCGACTTTCTACTTACTAGAAGCTTCTTACTCGGAGCTGGTTGTTTTCGAGTTTTCTCACCAAAGAGACATGCGTCGCGTTCTCAAATACACACTTAATCTTTAGTTCGATCTACGATTACAACCCAAAACCATTTCTAAGTCCTGATCATATTGTATGCAGTGTAGACAACCCAAAATGTTCTTGTCTTGAACCCTTCAGTCTCTCATTGGGGGGGTTGCACCTTTTTTTTAGTTTCTACCATGACCTCCACAAACATCAAATCGGACAACTTGGGCTAGAAACTGGAGTTGTAGCAAGCATTTTTCTAATATATTTGATAATTAAGAATATTTATGAATTTAGTAATATCTAATTTATAGTATTATTATTAGTAGGATTGGATTGCTATGTTACAGATCAAAACTGGATTAGTCTTTTTCATTTTATGTTACAAAATATGTAATTTACGTGTATGTGTCAGGTTTTATACTTACAAAATATGTACTTATGGATCCTTCAGCCTTGAAAGAAAGGTACATTGTGATCAAACTCACGAGGCCGGACGCAATCTGATTTCATCCATCCAATTCTCCGTTTCACATTGTCGTACACGATCAAGTGTCCACGCATCGATATATCTGCAATAACAAAACAAAACATGTTTCTCATAAGTTCCATGTTCGATTGATTATTGTGATGATTCAGACAAGAACATTTTGGGTTTACAGATAAAATGTTAAATTTTACCTCCAAGAATAATGGTGGAACCATCATGAACACTGCTTCCATCTAATATCCCAAGACACACATTTCCTTTGTTCTGCATCAATAAGTATGTAAAGAAACTCCATTAAATAAAGCCAACTCAAATTTGAAAGTAATCACAATGGTTTGAGCTTTTTAAAACTGCTTACGCTGATGATCAAGTAATCCTCGGGTTGAATCAAAAGTTTTCTTGATATGATCAACCATTTGCTCCCTATTTGCAGAGTTATTGGTCTAAAGAACTTCTTAACATCCAATAAGGAACTGTATATTATCGAAACCAATAACTCTTTAAAGATATGATCTTTCTTTCACCACAGAAATCAAAATGGTTTTACAAAAGATGAAAATGTTCTCAAATTACCTAATCGGGAAGTTAGTTTTAGCTCGCCAGCAGATAGGCAATGTTTCGTCTGAATCATCGCGTGTTAATTCTAAATCAGAAACTTCTTGAAGCTTTCACCAACAAAATAGTAAAACATCATTGACCAGAAGATTTTCATCTAAAAAAGGTTGAGATTAGTTTCTGAATTTGATTACTTACTGATGTGACCAATTGAGAGTAAGCCTGGTTAGGGAAGTATGTATAGGAACTTCCTGTGTCAAATAAGACTTTCCCTACTCTTCCGTGTTCGCCATCTAAGCTAAGCATAGCATTCCCATAGCTCATCTTTGTAACTTGCATCTGATAAACTTCCCTGAAAGAACCCAAAAATGTACGTTACCATATATGCAAGTGACAAAGATTTAAGCTTTCGGGAATATACCAAAATATATTCAAATAAGCATCCGAATCAAGTGATTCTAAGCTACTAGGTTTCACAGATTAGGCTGGTATTCGTTAAGCACTTACAAGTGGGGATGGTGAAGCATAGGAACCCATGTCATTCCGTGTGATGGAACCAAATCACTTCCCATGAAGATATATCCTTCACCGTTTAAATCAGAGGCTATGCAATGTCCAACCACATTGCTGATAATACCTCGGCTTGCAAGTTGAGAAGGTAAGCTAATTTTAGCTCTGCTTAGACCGAGAATCCCGTCTGTCTTTAGCAGAGTGTTCAACAGTAGTCCTTGCTGATCATATCCGCACCTTAAAGTACCAATCACGAAAGCCAAAGTCACAACATGAAACACTCAGATATTCCGTAACATAATCACAAATTGTTAATGGAGAATGATAGTTACCCGAAAACTATATCTGAATCGGCTAGTGATCCGTTGTGGAGTTTGAGATGAAACTTATCTTTGGTGAGAACTCCCATGGAGTAGCTATGATCAGCATATTCAATCTCGTAGTCACATTGACAACTCTCACAAGGTTCTGTCAGTTGATTCCTTTGGACTTCTACACAAAAGGGCTCTGAAGATCTCACCAAGTTATCTTTTCTAGGCTTATATAGTTGATTTGCTCCCTAAATAACCAAAATCCAGAATGTTCATCAACAAATTCACAGAGAAATTCTCCTAAAATCTAAACAAAACTGGATCTTTACCTTAGCACAACTAGTACAAGGAGCGTCACATTGGATCCAAGTCAAGTCACTTCCAGTATCAATATCAAGATGATAGTATTGTCCATCTTCAGGCTTTCCAACAAGAATCCGTGTATAATACAGCCTGAAACAAAAGCAAAAGAGACAATCTTTGGTTTCTTGTGCTTTAAGAAACAAACACACATTCAGATTTCAGTGTTAGGTACAATGCATACATACCCATCAGGATACACATTACCACCGATGGGAAAAATCGTAGTGGAGGAGTCAATAGAACCAGCACTTGTAGATATAACATTGTTGACTTTTACAGGGTTGACCAACTCTAAATCCATTGAATCCACAAAGTTTCCATTCTCTAAACCTAAATCTTCCGCTAAGATCCGTTCATGGAACTCTCGAGCTCTCAATTTGTGATACACAGGGAAAACAAACGACGTCGTTTCACGGGAACTATCGTCATCACGGTTCCTCTCATCAGAAACCCTAAACATTTGAACAGAGTTAGGGAAAACAGAGGCGTAGAAAGCAACCGCGAGAAGAGAGATTCCGAGAAGACCCAGAACTAATCTCGGAGAACCCATTGAGAGATCCGAGAACAAGAGGCGAGATTGCGGGTTTTGGTGAAGTGGGTCGGGTTGAAAACTCGGGTTTGGGTTATCCTCCGGTGGGATTTCTAGTGGGTAATCGTGGTCATTGAGAGTGAAAGCAGAGATTGTTTTGCCTTGTGAAGGATCATCGGATGGTGGGAGAGTGATTATGACTACGCTGTGGAGTCGTTGTTGTTGTTGTTGGTCATGAAGATCTGGTTCCATTCTGGGATTTCTCCGATCGAATTTGGCTGATTTTGATCGGAGATAGAGAATGAAAATTGGAAACAGGAAGAAAAATGGCAGAGTAGGAGTGGTCAAGAGTCAAGAGGCTTTTGTTATACGAGACGGGGAAATTGGCTTTTTCATACCTCCACAATTACACTATGTTAAATTTATATCTAAACTATACAGTTGTGCTAAAACATATCTCCACTAATAAAACATTTGAATTTCATACCTATACTTTACGTTTTGTGCAAAATTATGCCTACGACCTTAAATATAAATATATCGGGTATTCGGATACTTGTCCAAGTAGTTTTCGTTAACCGTTTATCTGTTCGGGTTTCAAGTATAATTGAGTACAAATATTTTGGATATTTAGATACCCATTCGGGTATCAGATAATATCCAGACCCGAACCGATATCCACAAATAGACATGTATAAGACACAATAGGGTAGTTTGGTTATATCCATTAACGATCCGAACCAAGTTTTTCGGATCGGTTCCGGTTTGAGTTTTCGATTTATATTAAATTTAAATTTTTGGTTATTTAGGATATGTTTTAGCACAATAGTATAAAATTCATGTATGAATTTCACATATTGGTTTTGTGGAGGTATGAAAAAGCCAATTTCCTTACACCAAAGCCACGTAGGTGCACACGTGGATTCTACGTAGTCAAGATTTAGAGCGTATGCATGATTTAGCACAAAACATAAAGTGTAGGTATGAAATTCGTATATTTTATTACTAGAGGTATGTTTTAGCACAACGGTATAGTTTAGGTATAAATTTAACATAACACAACTGTGGGGGTATGAAAAAGCCGATTTCCCTACGAGACGGAAGCTGCGAGGAAGATAGTTGATTTGATATTTGAAAAATAAGAGAAAACATATCTTAAAAACATTTATACCTTTTTTTTAAAACCCTATAAATGTTATTTTTTCTAATATATAAATGGAGGACAATATAAATAGTTTTTTGGCACAAGACTTTTAAAGTTTTAACAAATTTTAACTTTGCATTTTTTTGAGTAAATTTGGGAAAATATCCTCTTTTTGTTTCAACTTTTGAAAAATAACGTCTTTTTATTTTCATTTTAAAAATAATTTTTAAATATATAAAATTACATTATCTTTAAATTTTAACATAAAAATAATTAACCAAAAATATCTATATTTTAAATATCAAATAAATTTATTGGTTTAATTAAATATTTAAATTTTCAAAAGCTGTTATATAATTACAATAACAAAGATTTATTATCCTAAATATTTTTAAGAAACAATAATGAATAGTCGCATTTTAACGATGTTAAGTCATGATTTTAAGAATTTGGAGATTTTAACAACCGTATGAGCTACAACTAGCCTGGGAGAGGTTATTGATGGTTCTAGACTTGGAGATTTGAGCCTAAATAGGAAACAAAGCCATGTCTTGAAACCCATGAAGTGACATTGCAGTTTTGAAACTCAGCAACCGGTCAATTAAATTTGCACCAATCGTGAAAAAATAATATTCCCTCCGTTTCACAAAGAGTGTCGTTTTAAGGTTTTATTTTTGTTTCACAAAGAGTGTCGTTTTAGGTTTTCAATGCAAAATTTAATGATTTTTTATGTTTTATGACTATTAGTATTCTGCAGATTGTTTTACTATTGGGCAGATTGTGTTTAAGTATATAGGTAATGATGTTTTTGTTTAGAAAAAACAAAAAATTTAATGTTTTCTTAATCTGTGTGCAAAACTCTAAAACGACACTCTTTGTGAAACATAGGGAGTAATTAGAAAATGTAAGATGAGGTGAGTTACGTTCTAATGACTCTATAGTGAGAACTTTGAAACAAATAACAAAATAAGAAATTGTTTAGGTGACTCTATGGTCCAACAAGTCTAAAATTAATGAGATGTTCTTGGAAGATTTTCTTCTCATCCATATATGAATGGTGGTCCGGCAAGTTTGAGATGACATATTGAGATGTTCAATGAGAGTTTTTCCCTCTGAGACATATGAACTGAAAAAATAGGAGGACCTCGAGAAAATCTTGGAGTTTCTTTCCTACCAATCTACCATATAACATAAACAACAAACCGGCATTACTAGTTTTAGAAAAATCCGAGATGTAGTATCTATACCATGGGGTTAATGCAGATATAATAACAGAAGCTAAAGTATAAGACCCGAAATGGGTGCCATTTTAGTTAGTTTTTAGAGTTTGGTTATTAGTTTTACTTCAATTTTAATTTTTTTTGTCATATGTTGAAAACTTAAATAAAATAAAGTTGTGTTTTTAGAAAAAAAATAATGAAGATGAAGAGAAAACAAGAGTTTATCTAGTTTATTAATAGATTTTAATGGTATATAATGTAACACAAAGTTCAAATTTTCATTGCTAATGAGTATATAAAAAATATTTTAGTATGTTTTCTTCATTTGTTAATATCAAAGAGCTCGCAGACAACAATTCCTCCTGGATCGTGGCAAAAAAAAAAAAATATATATATATATATATATATATATATATATTAATATAATCAATATATGAAAATTAATATAATCAAAAATATTGTAACCTAAAAAAATTTAACACTGTTATTATTATTTTTTAAAACTCTAAAATTAAAATTATTATTTTGCTATTTTGCAAACTTTTAAACAAAATATCTAAAAAATATTGTTTGCTGGAATTTGTGTGAAATGGAAAACAAATTGCGAACGACTTGGATAAAAAACAAAGGAGCCCGAATTGAAGCAACTACTTTTCTCCATCATCGACGAAATCCGCCAAAATTGATCTCACATTGAAAACCCAGATCATGCACTAGAACCCAGTTTTTAGATCTCGAGGAAGACAATGGGTCGGATCTTCGAGTACTTCGTCGTGTGCGGACTTGGTCCAGAGATACGAACCGTAGATGGAGATCTTGGATTCCATGGAATGCAAACATTCTACTTGCCTGCTCTTCTCGACCAGTTCCCTCCTACTGATCAATCTCCTTACCCTGCTCCTCCTCCTCAGCTTCCTACTGTAAGTTTTCCACATAATCTTTTCAATTCTCGTCCAGATTTCGGATTTTGATTGGGTTTAGGTTCGTGCTGGTGATTGCTTTGTTGTTAAACGGCGATCAAATGTGGAATCAGCGTTGCCTAGTTACTAGAGTTTCTTCTGTATTGCTAAACGAAGCATTTCGAAGTTAGTAACTGATGTTTTCTAATTACCTCCAATTAGGTCGCTAGATTAGTTGAGAGTTGGAATATTGAATTTGGAGGTATACTTTTGATTTATGAATCATTCATATGACAAGATTAAAGAAGCATTTTCTTACTAAGCAATTGTTTTTGATGGTTTAACGTTTTATTTTGGTTCATGTTGAAATGAATCATCTGTGTAAGAGTTTAATGTGCTTGATTTAGGTTAAAGCCTGTAAGTGTTTGTTTTCTTTTGTTGGATGAGACTAGATATATTAAACTCAAGCGGATTTTTATGATTCAGCTTCTTTTCTTTTGGTTAGTGTGTTCTTCCTGCTGGGGTGGAGTTCCATTCTTCTGGGTTTGTTTCCAGTGATCCTGCAAGTTTCCCACGGAGCTATCCCATAGTCTTGACGGGTATGTGATTATCCTTCCTTATATTGCATACTTGGAGTTTTGTATGCTTTGCATTGTGGCTGCTCTATGTGTGATGTTATTTTGGTTGCTTGTTTTGAATACATTTGTTTTAACTGTGGTGGGTGATCTCTTACTGATTATCTTAACAATTTTTGCACAGAGGGTGATGGATCAAAAATATTTGTCAGTTGCATTGCATTTCGGGATCGAGTCTGTGAGGATATTATTGAAGCTTATCGCTTACCGCCAAATACATACGCAGACAAGTGTATCTGTCTTGTGTCTCACGCCCCCAATTTCCGTGTTCTTCGTAATTCTCTCGAAGAGATTTTTGTTCTTTGCTTCTCTTCAGAAGGAAGCTGGTAAAAACTATGCTTAAAACATCTTCGTTTTGTCTATATCTAACATGAATTATGCCCTGCGTTACTATTTCCTTATATTATTTTATTTGATAGATTTAGTAAAACATATGTGGGGGAGCTTGCATTGGTTTTTCATCTACTTTGTGTTGATTTTATCCTCTTGAAAAAAGTTGCTCTACAAAACGAGAAAAACAAACACCATTTGTATGTTTGAACTTTGATGTTAGTGCCCTTCAACCTTTTCAGTAAACCACTGTGGGATATTATCACCTATATGGTATCTAATGTGCCATTGCCGACTCCCGGAAAAGACAGAGTCTTGTTTGCTGTCGAGAATTGCCTGCTCTCTGTGGAAGCACCTCCAGAGGATAGTCTTCCTCAGGCAGATGTATGACTTTTGCTTTTGTCTCGTTAATCTGTTTTGAATGCTTCTCCTTGGCCACTTTGTAGTATCAACTTTGGAGATTTCCAATTTCCTGACAACTAAAAGGGCGAGTGTTCCCTGATTTCTTTCAACTTTTTTCCAGTAAAGTTATATAACGCTTGGCATGGTTTTACTGATGCAGATATCTCTCCAGCCTCTTGTGCAATGCTTGGATGTCGACAACTTGATTAAGCTGTTTACATCTGTTCTAGTTGAAAGGAGGATTTTGATTCGATCTAACAAGTAAGTTTCTCTATGTAGAGAAATAATGAGTTTAAGTTACATTTTCTAAACGGTTACTATTCTCATAGCATCTCTGTTTAAGTATCACACTTATTTTGCTTCATCGTGAATCTCAATAGGTATTCACTTTTGACTCTGGTGTCTGAATCCATATGTCATATGATTTATCCTTTCCGATGGCAGGTATGTCATAGAACACTGATGAAATCTCAGTTTATCACTTAAACAAATATGAACTCATTTGTAAGCATGCTAACCCATGCATTTCTACTGACTAAAACATTTCTTCTAATCTTTATTATTTGTTTTGTTGTATGTTTTGAAGCAAGTCTACATTCCATTACTATTTTTTAGTGGAGTAGACTACATTGATGCACCAACACCATATATGATGGGTCTCCACTCTGATGTCGATACGTCCTATCTTGCTATGGAAGGCGTG